CTTTTTCTGCCGCCCTTGCGTTTTTTTTTTTTTTTTACTCTCGCGCCGGGTAACACGCTTGCGAGTATAACGCGCGCATTTGTTTGACGCGAATGTGCGCGCCCGGAGATCGCGAGCGCTGCGCATATCTGATGCACGACCGACCAATTGGCATTTTCCTGAAATAATTGCATATTATATACGAGTAATTTTCACCCGCGGCCATTCAACCGTGAACACGAGCGCTCTCCTCGATACGCCCGGGATACGAGGAGGGAGGTAAAAAAGGGAGACAACGTTGCAGAGCGATACATGCGTTGCATCATGTCGACCGATAATATTATATATCGCGGCTTCGACGACCTGCCGCACACACATGCGAAAATATCGATATATCCTTTGACGAGGACGCGGTTGTTCGCGATAATCGACATTTTTTTTCTCGCGCCTGCGGATTGTACGACAATGAACACCGTGTGTTCGTCAGATTGATTGAGCGATAACGCGCGCGCGCGATGAGACGATATAAAAAAAAATGGAAACTGATGCGCACGCGACGTCGAAATTAAAACTTGGAAAATAAATTGAAAAATAGTACAGTCTATTATATATTAAAAGTATATAAGTATTTCTGTCACGTGATAGAAAGAAGTGAATAAACAACACGTGCCTAAAGTCACGTGACTTTACTTTAGTCGACGAGGTTTTAAAAAAGTAGTCAAAATAAAGTCGCGCGACAGTTAGGAGAAGAAAAACAACACGTAACAGGGAGAAGACACGTGACTAAAGTCACGTGTTGTTTTTCCACTCTTTTCTCTAATTAATTTGCCAGTTTGATCGTCACGCGTTATGTCTGACATCTCTCATAAGTGTATTATATGGTTTGTAATACGTATATACTAGCTGTCATCGCGGTGGCAGATTGTGTTCACAATGACACAACACGTTAAAATAAAAATAACAATAGCGTTCGCGTAGCGCGTGCCTAGTGTTGTGCTAGTATGTAGAAAAAATATATAGATGATCTATTTCTCAACGATACGCGAAAACTGCAGAGAAGAAAATATGAATCGGCCTCTCGCCGCGCGAGGCAAGGAGCGTTGTAATATTCTTTCCGAGGCGGCTGCAGCTGCAGCCAGCCGTGGCCTTCCCCAACGTCATCGGCGCGGATACTTGCGCTTTCCTGCGGTGCCCCAGTCGGAAAGGCTAATTAAAGCAAGACTACAACAAAGAGAAAAGGAGCCGCGCGATTGAGCCCGGCGACCGGCCCGGGATTGTTTATACGGTCCGCACCCGCGGAACCAGTTTTCGTCATAATTCGGTTGGTTGCGACGGAAAGATTTATCGATGGCAGCGATCGCGCTGCTCGTTTTAAACGTTGAAAACACGAGCGCTCGAATCCCCCAGCTTGCGTCGTTGTCTTTCATTAACGGGGCGTATGCTTGTAAAAAATAATATGAGAGATAATTTTTTCATTACGAGTGTAAAAATAAAAATATGTTTAAACATTGATAGGCGCTGTTGCGTTATTTATATCTCGGAACTTTCTGACAAATAGCGGTCCAAACTCTGTTCGCAACCTGTCGATCACGAAGAACGAAATTTCCCAAAGTTCGCGCGAAGGTCGTCGTGAGGAACGCGGCGAAGAGGAGCGCGATGCCGATTATGTTGAAAAATCATCGGTCACAAAAACCTATGTGTGCCAACGTCTTTCTCAAATTACACGTCCATTACAACGGTGTTATTGAATTACCCGACAGACGTTGCACACACACACACACGTACAACGAGTGTCAGTGCGCTTCAATTTCGAAAGAGTTACGCTCGCTCGCGCGCGCGTACACGCCTCTGTACGTAGTTGCCGCAACGAAACCGGGCCCGGTTTTTCGCCCCGACATTCGACCGATGACCCTCCCCGGTGCCGCTTGTTTCGCAAAGCGCAATAAGTCTTCTCTTAATTTTCGCCGCGATCTCTGACGGCGGGCCCTCTATTCGCCGCGCGATGGGCGTGAAACGTAGTAATTGCGGTCGGGCCGAGGCGGGTTTACATTAACGGCGCCTCATTGCGATTCGCGACGCGCCCGATTACCGGCGCGGTAACGATTATTAAACTCGCGCGCGAGGAAAAGAACGCCGCGCGATTAATTACGCGGAGGCCTACGCGACAGAACGATAATTAAGGGCGTGATTGAGATATATATATATGTATGTATGATCTGATTTATTTTCAATCGGGCGACACACAATCTTTCGCCGCCGCTCGCGCCGCGCTCGGTCAGGCAGCGCGTTTTTAAAACACGCGCATCCGCGGTCCTCGCTTTAATTGCTCCCTCAATGGGTGCCATCCGTTTAATTACCGTCAAATTAAAATCCAATTCGAGCAAAACCGGCTTGAAAATTACATTTATCTCTCGCGAATTTCTTCGCACGTTTAATATCAATAATCTCGATGTTTTATTTTTCTCGCGAAAGAAGAATCGAAGATTTTTTTTCTTTCAAACGAGAAAAATCTCGGCGATTAACGCGGTTTTAATGGCGAGTTAAAAGCGAGATCAAATTAAAACCACTGGAATGCAGACGCACGGAGTGCAAAAGCGCGCGTTCCATTTAACGCGTGCATCGTATTTCACGGAGCTCGTACAATCGATTCACTCGAGATATTCGAACAGTACATTATCGCTCGCCAAGCTCTCGTGCTCTCTTACCCGCGCCGTGTCGGTTCGGTCCCGGGGAGTGGATGAGGTACCGTTATGATTGCGCCAGAGCCGAGAGCATGCTCCGCATGCGCCAACTACTGTCCACTGTTATAATAATCGCAGCAGGAAGAGATATCCGCGTAGCGGAATTTTCGCGGCCCTTGCCCCCGCAGCGCGCATTTTTCCACCACGGCGAATACAAAAGGGCACGACCGCGGTGGCGGTATCTTCATCTTCACCTTCGCGTTTAAAAGCATGAATTTTCTCAAGAATACATTCAAAAGACTAGATCTCGAATTAATCGTCCCGTAAATCTCTGACGTTTAAGAGTTTACGGACATTTAAAGCTACAAAAATTTGTTTTTTTCTTCAAAATTTATCGAATTCAAAAAAGATGGATTTTTTTAATTCGCTATTTAAAAATCCGCGATATAATTGATGGCGAAACCGATCTCGCTTTGTATACATTTATTAAAAGCGGTGACACATCGAGATTGCGCGCCGTTTTCGCAAAAACGTCCGAATTTATTAGGAGCATCTGGCTCCACGACGGCGCCAATTACTTTTCCGCACACTTTTGCGCGTCTCTCTTTCTCGTAATTGCCGGGTATGGCCTCCGCTCCGGATTCGATCGCAATCGTGCCGTCTCGAGTAATTATCACGTAAGAGAAAACGAATCGAATATTTGCAGTTCGGATAAAAACGATATATTGCACAATTATCGAACGATCAATTCCGGCCGGTCGTAAAACAACGCGAACTCGATCGCTGCCAAAATGCTTGCTCCGACACGTTACAGAGGTTTATTCCGTTCGTACATAGTTCGTACACAGGTAATCGAAGGTTTCTTTTCCCGCACATACAAAGCAAAAAAAAAAAGCACACAAGAGCGCGAAGTTCGTAATTTCGATACGGAGATATAACGATTTTCGACACACAAGTTTTTCCACTGTTCTCAAACGAGCAAGCGATCGTCAATAGAAAGCGGACTCCGAAAAAAATAAGGCAGAATTTATCTCGACCGGCCTCGAGTTCGTTTTCGCTGTTTCGCTCCACATTTCGGTACGACACTCGTTCCGCGTTTAATGAGACAGACGCGCTCTTTTGACCGAACCTGTTCAACCGACAAAAGAAATAACAAGTACGCGCGACGAATGTCAACGGCGATTAATTAGCACACATACGCGTGCAATTCCGCGAGGCGACTCTCTCACGAAACAACGCGCAGTTGTTGTCTATTCTAGTCGCGTGCGTGACGTCTAATTACGCGCAGAAATAAACTCGCGCGCACGTAAAATATAACAATCGATATAATATCGCGATAACGATACAAATGATTTTTTTTTCTGTACGCAAAGTAATTTTTATACAAATACGACATTTTCTTAACGCGGAAATAACATCGTTTGTCGGGGTGAGAACAATCGTAAATTGCTCTCGTTGCAACCAGATCGAACTGCAGTTGCGAGATCGAAGAATCGCGAAGGTGAACAAGGAAGTCTATGATCTTGTGACGTGAGTGTCCGACACAGCTACCGCAGCGCGCGGAGACGACTTTGTAATCTAATGACTTCCATCGTAGAGTTCGACTCCTCGTTCGAGAGAACTTTCGAAACGCGCAACAATCTCTCCTCGTTTCATCTCGTCGTCGACGTAATTGTGGCGGAAATTTGATTCATATCGCCGTAACCTTTATCTCACCGTAGGATAGTACAATATTTTTTTTCCAATCGATTTCTTCGCTGGGAGAAGAGATCGATGAAATATCCAACGATTGATTTGACGTAAGAGATATACAAACGAGATTTTAAATATGTTTCGAGAATGCAAATTAAGAACATACTGCCGGCTTTAGTTGGCAAAAAAGTAACCCGATCGAGAAAAAACCACGAGACAGCGCGGAATCTCGTCTTGGCTTTCTCAGTCCGTTTGTAAATCGTCGCGTCTCTTTTTTAACGACGCGCGTAAGAATTCTTGAGAAACGCGATGAAAAGCAAAAAGCAAAAATTAAACATTCACATTCCCGTCCACCATTTCGCTTCTTTCGGTTGTTTTGAACAGAAGCCGTTTCGACCGATTGTTGCCCCGACGTGTTTTGAAGCGAATTGTCATCGCGTTTCAAAACAGCGCCGATAAGCGAAGAAAATATCACGTACGGAACCTCTGTGTCTCTCTTAACTTTCATTGGCAGTTTCTGATCCGGGGGGATGGATGAAAGACGCGGTAGAGGGGTATTGCCGAAATTATTTTCCCTCGCTGTACTCGATAATCGGCGTTTAGCCGGTACAGGTGTGCAAACACACTTGTCATTATTTTCCTTCGAAGATGAATGTTACTTGTAATTACTGTTCGATGAGCCTCGCTACGGAGCAAGATTTAAACATTCACACGAACATGTTTCATCCATTTGTACGCGCAACTTGCAAGCTGGTAAGTTTTCGAAAATTTATTAGAAAACCCGATTGCTCTGCCGAGACAGTTTTCTGTCACGCTTAAACAGAATTTATTCCGACTTTTGCGGAACATAATCAAGTAATGTTTGTTATCGTCTTCCTTGAGGAAGATTGTCTGCGAATATTGTTCATTCAAATTCAAGTCAGTGGAAAACTACGTCAACCACGTTCACTTATGCGCGTGGAATACTATTGTAAGTATTTATAAAAATATTTTACAACGACGGAAGTGTTATTCTGATTGAGAGAGTTCGCATTGCCAAAATTGTTATTCGTCAGACTAACGTACTTCCTAGTCGTCCTTTTATGTATAGTTGTGCTCATCTTTTTCATCAAACGATTTTCTATTTATCACAGACAGCCAAGATGATCGAACACGCTTTTTTTTACAAAATGAAAACACTTGGACAACCTCTGAATTCGGAAGTGGTAAGCTCTTCGAAAATATATTGCAATCGATGAGAAACTGATTTAATGGAAAAGGTCGATCTGTCGAAATCGTTTATTTCCGTCATTTTGAGGGATCTTGGTTTTGCTGAGTATGTACCTGTGTGATACTTTGCAGATACCTCCTACTTCGCTTACGACTTCAAATATCGAAAGGAATTCTACAGAACAAAACTCGTGCAATCCCACTGCAGTACATAAAGTCAAAGAACTGAAGAAATATAATGCGGTGAGTTTTTTTCGAAAATATCGGAATCCATGAAAAAGTAATGGTAACGGAGAAGATTGGAAATTATTTTTCGTCAATTTAACAAATTTGCTAGGTCGGCTTTTACAGAGTACAATAGTGCAACGGTGATAATTTTCAGATAGCTTTACGCAAAACAGCTTGTGAAAACTGTTTGACGAAATTCAAACGTGTGAGAGAACTTATCGCGCATAAAAAAATATGTGAGGCTGGAAAATGTAAAGTGGTAATTATCTCTTAAATCTTTGAAGACTACTTTTTCGTCACAGAGGAATAGGTTCGACTTCTTTGTAGTAGTATAATTGTGTAATATTTTACACAGGTGCCTCTTGCTTCGCTTACGAATTCAAATGTCGAGCAAAATTCCACAGAACGAAACTCGAGTAATTCCACTAAAGTCAGAAAACTGAACGAGGAAAATAATGAGGTAAATGTTTTTCGAAAATATCCACTAGAATTCACGAAAAACTGATGTAACGGAGAAGGTTGCCGAAATCATTTTTCGTCAATTTAACAACCTTGCTAGGTCGACTTTTGCACGATTGTGTAACGGTGATAATTTTTAGGTACCTTCATATGAAATTGCTTGTGAAAACTGTTCGATGAAATTCAAGTACGTGAGAGAACTTGTCACGCATAAAAAAATGTGTGAGGCTGGAAAATGCCAAATACAAGTGGTAATTATCTCAAAAAAATTCGGGAACGACGAAAAAGACGTTTGTCTGATAAACTATTTGTATTGTCGAAATCGTGTTCCGTAACGGACTCGCTAGTCGGCTTCTTTGTAGTATAACTGTGCAATTATTTTATTACAGGTGCCTCTTGCTTCGCTTATGACTTCAAATATCGAACAGAATTCCATCACAGAACAGGAATCGAGCAATTCTACTAAAATCCGTAACGTCACAAAACCCGACGATCACTCACTTGACAATCACGTGAGTTTTTAGATAATATTATTGTGTAATAGAGAAGTTTGGACTTCCGAAATCATTTTCCCTCGCTTCAACGGACTTGCTACTCGACTCTTGCGAAGTACAGTTGTACAATACGTTTTAGATATTTTTCACTCCGACATCAAGTAAAGTTCACTGTCTACAGAAAGAAGACAATTCGAAAGAAAACTTGAACAATCTCAATCAAATGTATTACGCCGCAAATGGCGATATGGTAAGTTTCAAAATATTGTAAAATCCATGAAAAAACCTAATTAATATTTTTGAAAAGGTACCTTTGTTTCCTTCGAACACTCTCGTCTCTAACGAAGGTTCAGTAAAGAAAGAACAACTCACCCACGATACCAAATTATATCACACCAATACGCCTCCGTACACGCCGGTGAGTTTTTGAAACTTATATTCTAGAAAATGAAAATCAGATCTGATATTTTTTTTTTTTTAAGGCAACTGTGCACTGTGAAAACTGTTTACTGAAATTCGAGAAAGTGGTAGAACTCATCGTACATAGCAAGATGTGTGAAATGAGAAATAATGCGTGCGCGATGGTAAGTTTTTCGAACTCATTAGAAATTTGTCTGCCAAAAATACATATTTTCTGTGTTTTTGCTACAATAAAATTGTTACCTTCTTCTTCTTTACAGATACTGCCCAAATGTATCTCTTGTTTACAACAATTCCCATCGCTGGAAGCACTGAATGTGCACGTTTCACAGTGTTCCAAAAGAGGCGACATTTACGCGTGTCCGGTAAGAAATTTTCGAAAATATATATAAAAAGTATTTATAATATTTATAAAACAGGCGCGTGCGTAAAGTCCTTGTCTTAGAGCTATATTATAATAAACAACCTATGTTGTACGGATCGTTGCTGTTTAGTTTTTAAGTATTGCGTACAGAGCAAGATTCTAATTTACATGTATTTGTCATTGAAATTGACTCAAGGACTGCGGAGATCCGTTCTGGACCAAACACGAATTTCAAGCTCATTTTCGATCTTATTGTCGAAGAGAACGTCGAAATAGATGGGAATAAATTACAATAGATGGGAATACATCACTGTCATATACAAAACAATATTGTTTTTACATCATTTCTAATCACATTTATATGAAAACGAGTAATATTTGAGTGATATGTGTTGCCGACACAAGACGCCAAGTAATAATCTCCTCTTGCATCATTCAACTTCAGAACAAGGAAGATTGTAACTATCGGTAAAGTAATATCACAACATAATGATTACTTCAATCCAACACAAAACAAGACAACAGAAGAATCCATGAACAAGAAAATTTTCTTCCGCGTTTGACAATCAACGATAACTGTAATTAGTTACATGTTATTGACTACAGTTTATGATTATGTTTTTTAATGTTTTTTTTAATATTCTAATATTTCTTGACGAGTATGTATTGTACAACGGCACAATTCACGGAATTCACGTGTACATGACTGCGTTCAGATAAGAAGCGCGTTATCTGAGCTCTTTCATCACTCTATCTTTATCGTTAGGTATAAAACAAAGATGGAATGGACGCAATAGCGCCGATAACGCGTTCCTTAAACGCAACCTGTACAGAACAGTGAGAATTCATATCTTTACTGTCTAGTCTTCTATATGTATTCTATCCTTTTCCGCGCTTCTAGTTTATTTTTAATTACATTCGAACTTTAATATTATATTCTACCTCAAAGTCGTATATATATCTAGATACAGTAGAACTCCAGTAATTTCGAACACTACAATTTCGACTTCTCCTTGATAGACGGGTCAATAGTTTCCCCCGCTATTCATGATTCCCCGATTTCTTGAATGACTGCGCAACTCGTAGAATGCGCAGATAACAAAGACAGAAACACGATGACTGTATCTTTCGTCTCTTGCTACCAGTTGGTAGCAAGGAAAAGGAAGGAAAAAAATGGAAGGAAAAAAATGGAAGGAAAAAAATGGAAGGAAAAAAATGGAAGAGGAAGAAAATCGTCGACTTCTAGGAAGAATCAGTTCCATGTGCTCGAAATTACTAGAGTTCTACTGTATGTATCTAGATGCAGTTCGTATATATATCTAGATCAATTACACGTATATGTAACATTATTTAATTTCGCTCATTAATTTACATACTTCTCACAAAGCGTTCTCCTACATTCTTCAATTTTAGTCGATTATAATTGAAGAAAAACATCGTTATCTCTTTCATATAGATGCCGAAAGATAAAAAATCCAGAGTTTTTTCTGCTTTGATAAATACGCATTTGACCGATACGTACAAACTGTATAAATCACACATGACTCTCTTGTATGCAATTTCTTGATGAGCAAAATAATAAGGCCAAAAAGAAATGATTGCTGGATGTACGTGCAAAACATTTTTTTAAAATTGATGCGCACAATTGATGTTAATTAGATTCGATATAGATTTTCGAATTATTATATATTTATGTAAATTTAATTCGAAAATTGTATGATTTAAGTTTACGTTTTTAAAATATATTTTACGCGTACGTACATTCAGCGATCGGCTCTCTTGCTGGACTTATTATTTCTCTCATTGTTAAATATACATAATTTGTTTTCAATAATAAATATTTGTAATATTTATTTAAGTATAGTTTTCGTAAAGTATGTTTTTTAACGTTAATAAAAATAAGCACGCGTATTCGAAGTTGTTAGTGGTTTCGTTTGTAGGCGCTGAAGAAGCCGCGGTTCGAATTCCTCTTATCGAATATTTTGTCGATGATATTTTTAAAAAAATTTAAATAAATTTTAAATAAAGAACAAATATATCGAAGTACATATATACTAATCTGTATTTTAATATTTTTTATAATTTTTTTTCATATCTTTTTGAACTAACTGAAAGCTAGAAATTGCGCAAAAACTCATTAGTTTTAACAACAAATTTTGCGTCAAACAAGCCTCGGCTCACTTATCAACTTCCAGCCAGTAAAACTGGCCAGTTACTAATCGGTAACTAGAAAAAAAAAAAAAAACTGAATTATTGGCTCGATTCTACTAGGATAGTTTTAGACCAAACAAACGTCGCCCTAACTTACTATCTTCTAGCCATGTTATAGAGATAAACGTTGTCCTTACTAACTTACTAACTTCTAGTAATATTTGAGATTTCCACTAAAGATAGCGAACCTCTACCGACATTATTTTTCTTGCCGTAACAGACTTATAAGTCAGCGTCACTCTGGTCTCTCTTTGGAACTTTTATGTTGAAAAGAAAAAAGTGATGGGAGGGATGCGTACAACAGCAACAAGTCAGGTATAGGACTCGTTTTGTTGTGCATCCCCTCCACACGCATGTAAAAGATCAAGCTAGACCTAACACCAAACCTAAGAGTTACTGATCGGTGACGGCCATAGATTGTGTAGTTTCTGTTCTGCATTTTCGTTCTGCGTTTTCTTCAAAAATGCTGAGCTGTGACTATTGTCCTTTGAAATTCGAAGAGCAGGAAGAATTGGACAATCATATTCAAGTATGTAATGCCAAAAAATCATCCATTCTACGGAAATTCAAACAACAGCAAGAAATTCTTGTTAAAACACGTGATGAAGAACCTGTGATTGTGCCGGTAAAATAAAAACTATTAGAAAACCATTCGAAAAAAACACGTAATCGGATAAAAAGATTACTCTCTGCCGAGATCGGTCGCAGAACTATTCGTTGGATTTGTGAAATATATTTGAGTAATCTTTTTTTATCTTTTTTTTTAAAGCTGTTTTCCTGTAAACACTGTTTCGATATTTTCAAGAGTGTGATAGAACTTTTCGAGCACATCCAAATATGTAATGCGAGAATCCACAGATACGCAACGGTAAGTTTTTCGAAATTATCAAAGCAATACGACGAGATGGCAGCACTCATTTGTAAACAGATTGTTCTTCAAGACACCGCTCTATTAAAAATAATTTTTCGTCGTCGACAACGAAATCGATCGTTGGCTTTTGCGGAGTTGTGCGATAAAAAACAATATATATTTATAAAAATATATATTTATAAAAATATATATATTTATAAAAATATATATTTATACAAGTATATACTTTCTTCTTCGCAGGTATTACCTTCATGTGTCTCTTGTTTTCAACAATTCTATTCGCTAGAAGACTTAAATAATCACATTTCGCAATGTCCGAGAAGATCAGACAGTTACGTATGTCCGGTAAGAGCTCTTCGAAATGTTTTCGTACAAACGGCATAAGCATAGTCATTGCAATAGAGATTACTTCATAATCTAAGCAATCTATATTTTGTACTCGTTATTGTGTTTAGTTTTAAGAGTATTGCATGCAGATCATTTCTAATTCACATATTTATTTCATTTTTAAAATTAATGTAAGGATTGCGGAGATTCGTTCTGGACCAGACATGAATTTCAAGCGCATTTTCATTCTTATTGTCGGAGAGAAAAACGTCAAAGGTGGCAGTAAAATTGTAGCACACGTTTGCTCTCTTATATCTCTCTGTCATATTAAAAAGGTATTGTTTTTACACAAAAATTGCTGAGCCCACAATCAATAGATTCAACCATTGTTTTCTTGCTGGCCATGTAATGGCAAAATATTTTTTCCGTGTAAACACTCAGATACAAAAAACGTGTATATATACGCCCATACTATATGTGTATTAATTATATTTTATTTTATAATTTATATTTTATTAATTATATTTTACATTTTATTTTTATATATTTTTATATAGAACAAAAAACATCGAAGACATACATACACAGAAACATGCCTCGTAAGCTCCTCGTAAGTCAACGTCGAGTTTTCAGCGACGCGTTCCGTTCACAGCGGTCGCATTTTGTTACAAGCCAAAGCGAAAGGGTTAAAATGAAAACGAATAACAATGTGTCACAGAGAATTGTAGAAGATGCAAGACAAGTGCTACAAACAATAATCCTTTTTGCATACTCAGGATGTAAATGCAAGAAAAACATAGTCCATGTTGCTCAATTATATGTACATATGACAATAAGAATTAATTCAATAAATAAATAAATAATAATATAATAACAATAAACAAGATTGCACTCTCTTAAATAGAATCAGTGCATTGCACTGAAAATCAGTACATATTTGACTCAGTGGAAGACTTATAAGTATGAATCAGTAAATATTTACTGATTTTCAGTACAATGCACTGATTCTACTTAAGAGAGCAATACTTAACGCCTTGAGAATTACAAAGCCGTGCCGCAAAAATGATTTCGCGACTAATGTCACACATAATCGCGGCATTAAATTTAAATAATTCAAAGCTTTATACGAGAAAAAAGTGCGGACACCGAGGTATTTCAGGATTTCAAAAGGTGGCGATTTACGTTAATAAAATCCCGTCGCTATTGACGATATGGAAATGTCGACCTGAAACTGACATTTTGTCGCGCCGCGTGGAAACGCGAAAACATTAGCTATCGGTACGTACGTTATATATTATCGGCTGGCGCACACAAGAGCTAAAGCTATCGAAGTAATTGTTGCTACGGCAAAACGACGCCAAAACTAGCGTTGCAATAAAGAAAAGGTCAATGCGATCATAAAGTCGGTAAAGGTATGCGACTGCGTTGATAATGACTCAACCGAGAATCGACACTACAACGATAAAATCGAATAGGAAGAGATTGCTCGATGTGTGTGGCATGAAAATTTTCCATGTATTGTATCCCCTCTAATTCAATTAGATTTTTATTAGATTAGTTTTGTTTGTTTTGCAAGATGCCGCTTTCTAGACGAGAATTGTTAGAAGAAGAACAAGATTTTTGTCGAGGAGCAGCGCACCTGTATATTTCGCGCGTTCGCAATCGATTCTCGATCGTGGCCAATCGCGTTTTACCGCCAATTCCCGCTCGCGCGCGCAGTTTCACCGGGAGCACTTTTATGGACCCATCGATCCGCAAGTTGTAACGCTATCCTATCATGGGACAAGGAAGAGGCGCGCACACGCCCAGTCCCGCGTTCCTCTTAGCGGGACTTCTTTTTCTAGCGACGTTGTTACGTGAGTGCGAGAGAGGAAAACGGCCCCGCATGTCGATGCAATCATCTGATGTGTTGCGGTATGCGGGACCTCGGTTTTATTGAGGTTTCTGGGAGCGTATCTTTTGCCGACGTTCGCAAACGCCGGTCCGCATGAAGAATTGCGAAAATTGGAGATTGATTGAATGAATAATTTGAATAATTAATTTAGATTAAGTTGTTTTATGATTTTAATATGTTTAAATTTTATTCCAAATTACATATATATATATAAGTGCGCAGTTCCTATTACGCCCTGATTTTCCCTCCTTTGCGAAACTGACCAAAAAAGTTTTATAGAAATGAATAACAAATTTTAAATTGTATAAATTTTTTAAACTGAGAAAATATTATATAAATTTTATTTGTACACCCTCTTTTCCGTACTGTTATTATTTGTTCATAAAAATCATTAATTTGCTGATTCCCGACACGCTTCAATAGCGTCGCGGACGCCAATGCAAATTGATGTTCAATTATCCGCGCAGATAGATCTCCGCAGCTGCCGGAACCGGAAGCCTTGCCTCACGTCGCGAAAAACGCGCGGTATCGAACATCCATTTGCGAGCCGTCGAAAGGCCCCATAGGCCGGTGCGAAACCACATCAGAGACGGAGACGGGCCGCATCTCGCTCTCGGACTTCCGCGCGGCGCGTATCGCGATGTTTATCGAGCCGTTCGCGAATCGGCCAGCAAGTAGCCCCGGAAGCGTAGACTCACCACCACGTCGGGAGTCGCTCACCTGGCGGGGAGGTAAGAGTTTGCGCGGCGCGATGCGTGCGTATGTTCCTGGCGCGGCGAGCGCGTTTAATAATTTAAGCGCTATCTCGGACGTCGAAAAACGAAGTAAAAACAACAATGAGGAGGCGGGAGAAAGGGGCGACGAAGAGATGCATAGTAAAACGAACGGAAAGAGAAAGTTCCTCAGCTAATATATGCAACCGCATTCACAAACTAACCTTGTCCGTTACGTGCATTTTTGAAAGATCTCTTCGTCAGAGATCTCGTAAATTAATTATTAAGCAGATCTGTTAACTAATTATGCTCTAATGTCTATTCTTAGAGAGTAATAAATTAATATCTCATCTATATGTGATGCCAACCGAGCATCTTGGATGAATTTTCGAATTGAATTTAGTTCGAATTATTACGTGTATTAATTTACACGTTTAAATAAATAAAAAAATATATTTCGCACGAACATTTGGCTCGTATCAACCCTGTTCGTTAGTTGAGTAAAATAACATTTTAATATTGTAACGTTCTATTTAGGGAAACAAAAGTTATTGAAATAATTCAACGATATTCTAATTGCATGAAGCTTCTAAAAATGCTTTTTTAATCATCCTCGCAAAAAGCTTGTATTTCGACGCATTATTTATATAATAATAACATAATAATATACTACACCGGGGAATATAATCATTTAAAAAATTCTCTCGCGCTCTCAGACACTTTACGCGATCACCGGAACGTCCGGAAGTTTCTCGCTACCGCGTGCTCTTCCTGAAGGCGGATACAGTATAATATACATCGTCATTCGCGGCGACGAAAAGGAAAACGACGCGGCTACGCGTACAAGCTTCTCCGGGGAGGAGAACGTGGTCAGTGACAGAAAGAGAGCGACGGCGGTGGCCCCAAGAAGCGGGAGGTCGCGGAGAAAGGGGAGGAGAAGGAAGAGGTGGTGAATGTCGAGAAACCGAGGCGTAATTCGAAGCGTAGATGCATCGATAGCGATCGGCGACTATCCTACTCGGGACCGGCGCTGATCGCCAGGACACGTCCAGGCCTCCGATACACGTGATATACACACGCACGTACTGTCCATAGCGCGATTCCACCTCCACCCTCCGCTCCGCGGTCACTATGCGCGCACAAAAGCGCTCTTCTCTCCTCCCCCGACATATGCGTCCACTCTCTCGCCGCCCCCTACCTTCTTCTCTCTTTCTCTCTCTCTCTCATGTACTCATGTGCACGTATTATCTAGCGTATAGAAGAGAATGCGAGCGGACGTATGGGCGGTATGGTCGCCCGGCGATGGCCGGCGTCTTCAAAAATGTGAGGAGCGGAGTCGCGTCACGTTCATTTCAGAGAATCGCAATTTAAGAGCTCTCCGTCTTCTCCCTCAGGGAAGATGTTGCTCCTTTCTCAGTGATCTCATTAGCTTAACTCTTTTTTTTTGTTTTATTAAATCAAATCCTTATCATTAAATTTTTGTACACGTAAAAACGTTACTGGAATAATTTATCACCGTTTATTCGACATAAAATTTCTCGCAAGTCGTTGACACGTTTCGCAAGGCGCAAAACGGAACCGGGGGCGGGGTCGCGATGAGAACCGCTGCTCGGGAAGCGGACTCTCGGAGCACTTTATCTCCGGGATGTGGGTCGCGACTGCCGCCCGCCACAGCGTGCGCGACCACTACACTATCTTAAGCTCGGTCCACACCTGGTTTATATGTTGCGATTTGCGGGCGCAATAGACGCCGCGCGGCGAGCGGCGTCACGCTCGGGACATGTTTCGCGCTTCCTCGAATACGCGTCCCACGAGCGTTCATGATCACCTGAACCGGACAACTATCGCCGTCGCTGTCGAGATCGCAGATAAAGGCGATTATTATTCTGGTCTACCAAGCGAACACCCATTCACATGCTAAATAAGCATCTGTACAGTCTGACATTTAGCCGAGATCTCCTTAAAGTTGTTTTTAATTTTGCGCGACTTCGCGCGCTTTTTCCAAGGAGAGGATTAAAGTGCTAAGACGCGTTAAAGAAAGTTAAAGAGAGAAAAAAATCCAAGAAACATCAACAGTGTTTTCCGTGTTTCGTATAAAATGCTCGAGGAAGGATCGAACGTGCGATGTAGCGAATTGTACATTAAATTAACGTGCGGCGTGAAGAAGGCGCAAAAAGAGAAGGCCTGTTTGTGACCACGTATATACATCCGACACACATTATACAACCGTCTTCTTCAGCTTTCGCGGTAATAATCGGCGCGCGTGCGGTAAATTTGCGCGTTATACGCTCCCGTTAGAAGAAGTTCGCGAGTTTCCCGCTTTCCATCGTCGGAACGAGGAAAGCCAGAAACGATCGGCGGATCCATCGACCGCCGGCGCCGTCGGCGTTTCCACCGACGGAAAGTACGCAATTTTCTCTCGTCCCTTTTGATCCAATAATTCGCGATCGTTCGCCGCAATCAGAGTCGGCGAGTCGTAGAGAGCTCGCGAGCTCTTTCGGATTTATGGACCGCCGCGTAATTCGCGACGCGATTCACGCGCGCGTTCGAAATTTATCCCCGCGATCGCGGGAGAGAAGTCCGCGATATCTCTCCGCCGCGCGAGATTTCCTAGAATTTTCATCGGCCGCGCTGCTGTTCGGGACTTTTACAGCGCTGTAAATCGCGACGATAAAGTTGCGATTTACAATCGCGGCTCGCGGAACACGACGATGCCGAATCGATTGGCCGCTGAGCTTCCGCCGCCGCGGTTGTCGACGACGGGATTTGTCGAGCGTGCGGATGAAGTAATTACAAATAAACGTTACAAAATTACGACTCGAGTGTGTATGAAAGTCGAGAAGCACTAATCAATACTGTTTCGAAACGTAGAAAATATGAACAAAATAAAATCAAAGTTCTTTTTACACAAAAATATTAAAAAATTATAATTACATTAAATCATTATCGCATGTAATCGCAAAAAGAAAGGTCTGGATTTTTGTACATTAATTGTATACGACAAAAAGGCGGAACCGTCGAAGAAATCGCCGTTCGATTTTTTCCGTTTCGGCGTTCCGTAAATTTTGAGCTCTATCCCGCACGCGAGGGATATATCTGTAATAACTAGAGTTTAGCAGTTTAATGACTGGAACGGGTTACAAATTGCCGGATAGTTTGTTGGATGATAGCTCCGACG